GGAATACCACCGACTGATGACAGACCAGCCAGCCTTGCTGATTGGCACCAGAACTTGGAAGGGGCATGGATTCTTCCCACTCAGCTCCCGTTCACGCTGTAAGCCAAAGTCTTAATGGCCCAGCAGTGGGAAGCTCGCTAGCCGTGTTAATGATCTTGCTAGACATCAATGTCAAGCTATGTGATTGCGGCCGGTTAAACTCCATCAGTTACCCCGCTGCTGTACTGGGGTCTCCAAGCCCTAGGTCTTGTCAATCGGTGACTCTCTGAAATTAGGTGATCAGGACGAGTTCACTCCAGGGAGAGTACGCATTCCATTCCAGACGCAGCAAAATGTTCATGTTTAGGTGGGCTACACATGTGGAACTCTCAATCTGCTTGGATACTCTTAAGCACGGTGATGGGTTTCCCCGTGTGTCAGACACCGGCTGATCATAAAAAGGGATGAGGCACATCACAAAATAGCAGCAAAGAATCTGGTCAAGTCAAGAAGCAGAGGTTAGCTGATATTAAGCTTGGCGTTTGAAGGCATTGATGTCAGCTTGGCTCAGTTGGCAGCACTCTCGTCTCCTAGTGAAAAGGCTGTACGTTCAAGACTCATATCAGGCCTTGAGTATCCAGGCTGATACTTTGCTATAGTAAGTGCTCTGAGACACTACCCGGCGTGGAGGGTGCTATATCAGTGCAAGCTGTTGTTGTTGAGCCAGTGGTGTGCATTGCCAGAGATCTAGCTTTTGGATGAGATGTTAAACATGGGGCCCATCTGCCTATTCCGGTGGATGTTAAAGATCCCATGGTACTGTTCAAAACAGACGACATTGATTGATTGATGGAAGCAAGGAGTCAAACAGACAGACAGATCGAAGAACCACAATGAAATCTACAGGTATACTGAACCCCCATTGACTTCTGCAGAAACTTGAACAAGTTGCCAGGAAAGTTGGTAGAGGCCGGGACACTAAACTCTTCTAAAGAGCAGCTTGATGCAGTGATGCGTAGGTTGCAAAGACTGTAGGGTGGGTGTTCTGGAGCGATGAGATTAGATGAGCCGAAGGGACTTCTTCATCCGGACTAATATTGTGATCTTTTGAATATCCACCACTAGATACTGCTATTAAGCAATGAAAATACTCTAGTGTCCTCTGGTGAGAAAAACTTGATATTGCAACACAGTAGTTCAAGGCCTATGTTCTGCACTTCTCTCCCAACTTTGAAGTGAAATGTTCTGTTGCAAAAACAAAGCAGGTCCCGGAGCTCGCTGCAATGGAATGTCCCCCAAACAGAATTCCTCTCTATCTGCGGTTGCCCAAAGAGCTTCCTTTTCTGCAGTCAACAAACATTCCCAGCTGCGCAACGTACACGCAGAACAGATGCACTTCCAATGGACTTTTGACGGAATGAGGCTGAGTGCTAAACAGTGACGGAACGCAAACATCAAACACTCTCCGGTTGTCAGGAATTCGTCGACGCTGCGACAGAGTCCGTGTGAACACAGCGGGCAGGAGAAGTGACCGAATCGGAAGGGTTTTGCTTCGTCGCTCAATGCCCACTTGGGTCTTAACCCTAAGGCCTTATAAATGCAAGTTGTTGTTCTTGTTGTTGTAAACTGATTGTATTGAAATTCAAGGTCGTGCAGGATTTCGGAACATTCTTAAATACAGTCTCAACCGAGAAATCGTTCTTTCCAGACATCTTTTGAGGGAAGGCGGAAACCGGCTTTCAAATTGAGTTGAGGAATTTTACAAAATCCCGAGCTCAATCTTAAAATTTAACACAATGGTCTGAAGGTTAAGGCCAGGTGGTATCTCGGGTGTAAGATTCAAGTTTCTTGTAGCTCATGATTGTGCAGTCGAGGTCAGACACTTTACTTGATCTGTGGCCCTCCATCAGTAACAGGTCTGTAACATACCGTGACAGAACATGCAATGGGGGTCTGTCTACTTTGCCTCCTAACCTATTCCCCCAATTTATTGAGCGCTGCACTGCCCGCAAGCCATTTCATGACCATATTAATATTTATATTTGATACAGTTCCTTTGACATGAGGTCAAATTCAAAGGATTTGACAAGATATACTGTAAAGTGTAGTGACTGTGCATTTTGTAGGTGAATGCGGCAGCCAATTTGCGCACACCAACGGCTCACGAACAGCCATGACGTGAATGACCAATTTTATCTGGTGGATTGCCCTTGAGGACACTGGGAGAGAGAAACTCCCTTACCTTTCGAAGAAGGCCCCAGAACCTGACAGATGAGACATCAGTTCAGTGTCTCATCGTCAAAAGGAATGGCTGAACTACACCTAAGAATGCGTGTGTGATAACCTACTGTTCTGGTGGAGAGATTACATTACATCAAGTATCAACCCCTGAGAAAGCAGAAGCAGCAGCCAGTGCCTGACAGCCCAAGTCACCAATACTGCACTTCAGTCATTAAACTCTGTTTTACTCCCGAGCCTTTTCATTATTTCCCAGCTCTTACCCATTAAAACGTTAAACAATGTTTTCACTGAATGGCCAAATTAAATGGTTGGGTTGTGACCACTTGTAACCTAATCCATTGAGCACTGAATGTTCTTTGTCACTTTCACAGTCCATGCACATTTGCTATGGTTATAAGGTATGTTCCACTGTACTTTATGCTGTAACAGGGTTGTGAGCGAGAGAGAGAGGGGGGGAGAGAGAGAGTTAGAGAGAGCGCCCAGATTAAAGCGCAAGCTACAATGAAATGTTTCACACCAGGGCTCCCATTCCAGCGTTAAACACACTGGAGTAATCCTTCTATTCTATACTGGAAAACTCGAACACCAACAGTTCCTGTGTGCGCTTACAAGCACATTCAATTGCAACAACAACTTGCATTTATAAAGCACCCTTCACTCTGGGTAGCGTCCCGGAGCGCTTAACAGTGACGGAGTCTGACCCCGAGCCAGGGGGAGAGGGAAGGGCTAGGTGACCTTAAGCACGATCAAAAAGGAAGGTCTTTAGGCGGGGTCTGGAAGTTGAAGAGGGAGGGGGCGAGGCAGTTCCAGAGTTCGGGACGTAGTGACTGAAAGCACAGCCGCCGACGGTGGAGCGGAGAGGACGAGGGACGAACAGGAAGCCGGAGCCGGCCAAGCGGAGGCAGCTTGTGGTTGAGTGGGGAGGGGTGAGCAAGTCGGAAAGGTAGAGAGGTTGCGATCGACAAACCCAGGACATTAAATCACTGAAGCCAGTGAAGTTGTAATTCATAAAGGCCAAATATAATCACATTCCAGACAACCATCCCCACTGTGTAACCAGTTCCTCCTTCGTGAGTAACAGCACAGCCAGTGCTGGTAATGGTCAGTCTGGTTTTACACAAAGCTTATCTTTATCAATTAAAGAGAGAATATTGCTGCTTCGCGTAGGACAATATGACTAACAGCAACACTCTGGTCTTTATTCTATTTTATGAAGATTTGTTTGCATGCTTTCCTTCTCGGATTCTCTCCCCTATTTTCCTCCTCTGCTGAAACTGTTGATTTCCAATCGCTTTCTACATGGGTCTGTGGGAAACTGACAGCCTCCAGCTCCTTGTATCAATACCTTCCAATGACTGAGCAAGCAGCCAGTCTGGTTTAGAGACTCTCAGCGTGGTGATGGGTTTCCTGCTCGCGTCAGACTCCCACATGGTGATCCGAAAAAATGACTTGCCCAAACAGTGTGAGCCATAATGGCAAGTGCTGGCAGCAATTCAGCTGCTTCCCTGAATCATTTTACAACAGCACGGCTGAAAGGATAAAAAAAAACAAACGAGGAGGAGGGGATCTAATCTCCTACCATCATTCCGATCCAACGCTGTATTTGTGGGAACGTGTGGTAAATGACGTCTAAACCACAAGATCAGCCTTTGACCTGCCTTACGTATCTGGTGTAGAGTTCGCACTCTCTCCACACAGGGACACACCCTAATCCCCTGAGAGTTTGGTGTAGGTTGGCGAGAGCCTAGACTGTGTGTTGGGGTAACTGTTGGGAGTTTAACCAGCTAACCATTGCAAAATATATCCAGCTGTTTGTCCAGCTCAGACCATTTTACTTGTTAGGGTTTTTCTTGTAGGGTTAACAGGAGCTCAAACCAATATGGCACCGAGGTCAACTGCAGTGTTTCGGGTGACATTCGAACTAGGTATCTCAGTAATTGTGCCTCTCAAATACTCTCTGAAGAAACTCTTTGGGACTTTGGGGGAGTCGATGGCTGGTCTCATGGTTCAGATGTTATTTCCGACATGTCTCCACAAACAAATGTCTGATCAGAATGAAGATAGTAAGCTAGAGCCTACCACCCATGTATTGTTTTGTTCTTCCAGCTGAGCTTTAATTAAATTATTTTATATTGTTGCCAAGTACGTTCAGGAATCCCAGAATGTCTCGGAACTGCAGGTCAGTAAACTTTAGTATCAATTATATTAACAACAACCTGCATTTATATAGGGTTTTTCATGTCAGATGGGGTCTCGGATCGCTTAAATTATAATAACATTCTGAACAGTCAATTCACTTTACAGTACATTTTGTTAAGTGCTTTGAGACATCTCAACAACGTGATGAGGCACACATTAAATTCAAGGATTATTATCATTGTTAATTGGTATAACACCTACGAATGATAACATAGAAATGTCTCAAAGTGCTGAGTGTAGGGACTGTGTATTTGTGAATTTCACCATGAAACAGTGCCTATACTGTAAGTCCTGTGAAACACTTTGAGACATCCTTTTGACGTGCAAAGCTCTAAACCAAATGTAAGGATTATTATTATTATTCTAAACTTGTGTACAGCAAAGTCCCAACGACTGCTACCACAATAAAAATAACGGTAATATTATTACAGGCAGACGGGACCTCAGGTTAATGCCTCATCTGAAGGATGGCACCTCTAACAACCCAGCACATCCCCAGCGCTGTACTGGAGCATCAGCCTAATCGGTGCGTACCAAGTCTTTAGCAAATCCCCATTGCCCGGCCCACCCCCGTGCCTGACCTCAGCCGCCTTCCGGTGGTCATCTTCGTTCTCCAGCATCTTCACATCGACTCCCAAACAGCGCAGATAGCGACCCAGCCCTTGAAGCATGCTGTCACAGATGACACTGAACTCTGAGGGTGGTACAGGAAGGAAAGCTGGCGCGTCTGCTTCTTCTGGCACAGGCAGAACCTGGTCCAGAAGAGGCGCAGTGTCATCCGGGAGAGGCAGCGACGTCCTCTCATGTCTCTGTAATAAAAAGGAGTTATTAAATTTATGGTTGGAATGAAGCTTGCGTTATTATTACTGGATGTTACACAGCCCAATTTTATAGTCTCCCAACAACAATAAGCACATTAGACTTAGAATTAAAACTTGTGCTTGAAAATATCCACATAGACATCACTCTGTGTCCATTGCTAACCTTGCCTGCAGCTGGCAACTAGTCAACAACATGTATCTATCTCTAGATTTATCTTAAGACCCTCCTCTTTGACCTGCTCCTTTGATCATCTTTCCACCCCTACCCTTTGCCCCCCAAGCCTCTGGTATCCAACCCCCAACTCGGGTGCAAACCCTCGATTATCCGGCGCCTTGGGGTGTCCTCCCTAAGTGAAAGGCGCTATATAAATGCAAATTGTTGTTGTTGTTGAACAGAGTGATTGAGATTTAAATCCTGGTCACTCGGTTCTGTCCTCACTCCGTTATGACATTTTTTCTGCATCCTTATCATATTTCAACATGACAAGGCGTTACACTAAACGTAAGGATTATTATTGTATATTATAAAGTGGATTACATGAGAAAGGGAGAGATGGTGTAGAGATGGTGGTTCCTTTATGGTCCTCTACATACCTATGTTCCAGCAACATAAACTTGAAATAATTGGAGTCAGATGTTGGTGCACATTTTATAGATGTTGCTGTTATAAAATAAAATAATCCTTGCATTGATATAGCACCTTATCACGTCTTTGAGGGGCGAAACGTGGCAGCCAATTGCATATAGCAGTGTCCCACAAACAGTCGTGGATTGAGTGACCAATTTATTATTATTGTTTTTTTAAGGAATTATTACCCCCGGAAAGCGATCTGCCAATCGACTAACAACCAGGTTCCTATTTACTCGTTGGTAAACAGAGGCATGTGGAGTAAGGACACTTGCCCAACATTTCGCGCTGCCCGGAATGTTATCTATCTACCTGTTCTGAGATTCCAGCTTTGTTCTTATTTTTCTTTCGCTTCTGTTCCTTTGATCTCTTCTCTGACTTCCCCACGAGGCTGTCGTTTAGGCTGTAGCTCAGGCCGAACTGCTGTGGCTCCCGCAGGAGGGTTTCATAAACCTCCAGTAAACAGTACGCATCGATGGCTGCATAAAAAAGGAGCATTTCAAGTTACTTTAGTCAGGCTTCGCAACAGCAGTAACAATTTACATTTATAAAGCCTCGTTCACGGGAGGACGTCTCAAAGGGCTTCACAGGATATATTGTAAAGTTTAACGACTGTGTGTTTTGTTGGTGAACACAGGCAGCCAATTTGCGCACAGCAACGTCTCACAAATAGACATGAAGTAAATGACCAATTTTATCTGGAGGATTGGTTGAAACTCCCTTCTCTTTAGGCGTAGAGCCTTGGGATTTTTAACGACCACCTGAACAGGTAGGTGGAACCTCAGAATAACATTGCAGCACTCCTCCCATCACTGGAGTGTCAGCCTAGACTACATGAATTCAAATTTCCAATGTGGGGCTTGAACCCACAACCTTCTGACTCAGGTGTGAGGGCACTACCAAGAACCACAGCTTATAAATAGAAAATAAATCAACCTATTCACACATTTAAAACAACCCTGATTTAGGCGACCTGTAGTGATCCAGTCACTGTGTCTCCCAACTCACTCACACCTTCAGATTTACACCAAACCTCAACGCTGCACACAGTTAAGTAATAATAATAATCCTTGCATTTGACACAGGGCTTTATCATGTCTTTGAGACGTCTCACAGCGCTTCACAGAATATTCTGTAAAGTGAATTAACTGTATATTTTGTGGGCGAAACGCGGCAGCCAATTGTACACAGCAGTGTCCCACAGACAGTCGTGGATTGAGTGACTAACTTATTATTACTATTTATTTTGGAAGGAATTATTACCCCCGGAAAAATGATCCGCCAATCGACTAACAACCAGGTTCCTACTTTCTCCTAGGTAAACAGAGGCGTGTGGAGTAAGGAAACTTGCCCAACGTTTCATGCTGCTAGGAATTGTACCCAGGTCTCTCGCTTGCGAGGCGAGTGCTAGCTGCTAACCTGCGTAAATAATCTGGTTTTGTCGAAGTGGTCGCTTCTCCCAGTTGGATAACTGTTCTGTTTTGTCTAGCGGTTTCCCCAGCACATGGCGCACAAGAAGACTGAGCCCCTTCTCCGACTGCCTCGTCACAAGGTCCACATCTTCCTGACCCGAAGCCACGACGTCCACTTCTCTAGACCCGCCGGCTCTTCTGTCTGGTACTTTCTGCAGCTGAGCACAGAGCAAAACAAAAAGGTCATTCAAATCATCTCAAATTGAAGTGATTCACAATTCGTCCAAGAACAACCAAGGTCATATTCATTCATTCACAACAATGTAAGGCTGTGTTTTATTCAGGCTTTTTGTAATGCTCTGTTTGAAGGTTACTGTTTCAAAGTGAATATGCAGTCAATTCACTTTACAATATATCCTGTGAAGCGCTTTGAGACATCTCGAAGACGTGATAAGACGCTATATCAAATGCAAGGATTATTATCAGTGGTTGCTGCTGCTCTGTTGCTAGAGGATCGAAACTGAAAACAATCTGACGTGATAAGCGTTTGAAGAGTCTCAGCCCTGCTCCTGGGTAAAGGTAAAACACCCAGGAGGAAGGGCAGAGACTCCGGCAGAGAAAATGGATATAATGAGCAGAATTCAAGCATTCAAATAGGTGCTGATAACGAACCTTTTTATGGATGATCAGAAGATCGATCATTCCAGCAGTTTGGTGCATAATATCCTTAAACAAGGGATAGGCTGAGCTGAGGCTTCGCAGGTCACCTGCTGTCCCGTAACCTGAAAAATACAAGGAGGATAAACTGTGAATTCAATCGGGTACATTACAGCAACAAACTCTCATCTCAGCAGTGAACAGCTCTGGTCTCTGAGTACCCAACTGCCCCAAACTGACAAACTCAAAGAATTCTACGGATGTGATAGTAGCTTTTAAAAGGGAATTGGATAGGTATTTGAAAAGGAAAAATTTGCAGGGCTATGGGGTAAGAGCGGGGGAGTGGGACTAGTTGGGTAGGCCTTTCAAAGAGCTGGCACAGGCTCGATGGGCCGAATGGCTTCCTTCTGTGCTGTAAGATTCTATGATTCTATGAGCTCTTGCTCTGCGAGGTCATATTTTGGCGCATATCAAATGCAAGGATTATTAATATTATAATGATGTTATTACGGTTTAAATCACACTGTAGAGGTCATTTCTGAATGGTTTTCAGCGATGGTCAGCCAGGCCAATAACACTGCCCCTTACATTACACTGTGTTGTTACTTCTCTTAGTATGTTTGAGCTTCCTAAAATACCACTCACCTTGCTCAGATTCCGACACTATCTCTGTCAAGTGCTCTGAGACACTGCCCTTCGTGAGAGGTGCTATACAAGTGCAAGTTGTTGTTGAATGTTCACTTGGCATTAAAAATATCATGGGGCGGGGGTGGGGTTGGCTTCCACGTACCTAGCTTAGTTATTGTTTGATCAGTGAACAACGTGTGTATGAAGTGGATGAGCTCAGCTTCACGGCCCTCAGTCTCAGCCTGGTTCACAAGCTGTGGCATGTCCATCAGGTACACCCGGTCCTTCAACGCAACCTGCATTATGGACACTCGAGACTTCATAAGCACTCCAAACGTTGGCCTCCACTCCATGTCGATCCCGAGGACAGCACCAGCCTGCAGCAAGGACACCGAACCCCATGCGGGCAACGTTTATTAGTGAGCCGGGGACCACAGCAAACTGCACGGTAGCCAAGCACCACCGTCCAGGCTTCTAATTAGAAGTACTGCAAGCTATATACATGCACACTGTGATACAATGATGTGCCCATATACACACACACACGCACACACACACAGAAAGGTACTGATGTACCCTGCACACACATACCAAACCCACACACACTGTGATACAATGTGCCCATACACACACACATACAGAACCCACACACACATTGTAATACCTGCCACATAAACCACATTGTATACAACTCCCTGACCAACAGCATCCCTGTAAATCCCTCTCTGCAACGTGGCACTTGCCGGAATATATTTTTGTATCAATTAGAAGACAGGATGAAGCCTGCTGCTAGCGTGCATGACTGACCTTTAGCAGAGAAGGTGCACAACTCCTCAACTGGTCCAGACTGTGCAGGAAGTGAATGTTCGCTGTGGAGATGGGCAGCTGGTAAAACCAGCGTCTCCTGCTCTCGATCAGTTGCCAGGACTCTACAGCCTCACCACTCTCAGGACCGGTCCTACAACATCAAACAAGCGTTTACAACATTCACCCTCAAGCAGCGGGTGAGAGGTGAGCGAGGGTCTCCCAGCAAGGGTCTCAATTAGCGAACCTTTGCAGCTGAGCAATCCTCAGCAGATCTGAAGTAATCCAAGTTCCTGTTTTAATGGCTCATCAATAAGATTCTGGTCAATAAGATTACAGTCCTGGGTGGTCTGAAAATCACCGCTACTGGGACCTCAGAACCCGATCATTATGCTCATACAACCTCCCAGATGTCCTTTCCGTGCTTAGTCCTCTCAACACTCACGTTCCCTGTGAACTCCTGGTGACACTGACCTCTGCAGTAAATCCCATCCCTATTCTGATCATCTGTGGAAGCGGAGAGGGAGGGAAGCCAACTTTGGAGCATTTTTGCTAGAAAACCAGGAAACGATCACTCACACATTATTTTTCTCCAGCTCCTTCAGCCGCTTGCCCACACTGTAGGACAGGTTCTCTCGGGGGACGTTGAACCACAAGGCCCAGCGAGCGACAGTGTCCAGGTCTGTGTACCTCATTAGCAGGCTGACAAGCTGCTCCTGTAACCAGCGGTTCTGCCCTATTGTGGCCTGAAAAGCATAAACATTTGGAGAAGGTAAAAGAACGCCCTCGCCATCAGCTGCTCGAACGAGGGGTGAAAGAGCTACGAGCTAAGCAATGGTCATAGAATGGTCTGTTGGAAGCACATCAGGGCCTCTTCCAATGAGGACAAACAATCACCATTAAACAGCTAAACAGTATACAGGAACCCAGTACTGTATAGGTAACCTGGCTTGTCAGTGCAGTCTCGCCTTCTGCTGATATGAAGGGATATCCTGAGTGACTATCCTCCAGATAAAATTGGCCACTGTTTGTTCAACATAGCTGTACTAAGTTGGTTGGCATGCTTTTCCACATTATAGGCCCTACAAATCAGTCATTACTTTACAGTAAATCCCATGTGTTTTGACACGTTTTAATTGCATTATAAGGCACGACATCAAATGCAAAGATTATTATTATTATGAATGTAATACCAAGGTAAACACTCATCTGGAATTGTCAAGAGCTGACATGTACTGCAAAACACCATGTTTTGCTCTCAGTTCAGCACTGATCTGTCCAGTTACATACTGGAACACATTACATAAATAAGTTAAGACAGTGTTAGCAGTAATCTGTGTTCAGTGATGGGAGCTGAGGATATGCTTAACATTGGCGCTTTTCCATAAATTTGTAAAAGGGAATAAGGGAAACGTTGGAAAAAAGAAGCATATTAAGAGGTTTGGGGCAAACGGGGCAGTCAATTTGTACACATCAATGTCTCACAAATAGCCACGAAGTGAGTGACCAATTTTATCTGGGAGATCAGACATCAAGAGGAACTCCTTTCCTTTTACAGTAACCACTTACTATAGAAAATCTTTCAACAGAACTGAGATATTCTGTGCAGTCCGCTGCAATGCATTTGATGCATTGCATTTCCTGCAGCACATTTCAATCACAAGGGCAAGGTGCCGTCTTTCAGATAAGACGCTAAACCGAGGACCCATCTCCCCATTCGTGTGGGTTGCTAATGATCCTGTGACACCACAGCAACAAATTACATTTGTAACAAGTCAGGAGGACGTCCCAAGGCGCTGGACAGTCAAGGATTTGCACCTGAGCTGCGGGTTGGGATCAGGAGGGTTGGAGGTCAGGGAGGGTGAGCGTAGGAGGGTGACCAAAGGCTCAGTTAAAGAAGGTCTTGAGACCAGCCTTGAAGAAGGCAAGGGAGGAAGCAAGACGAAGGGACTGTGGGATGGAGTTCCAGAAGGTGGGGGCGGAAAGGATGAAGCCCTGACCACTCTTGGTGGGGTGGGCCGGGCGGAGGACATGGAGCAGACACTATTGGAAAAGGTAAAATTGGACATTCACCTCCTGGCTGTTTGTGGGGCATTGCTTACGCAAATTGGCAGCCACGTTGGCCTACAATTACGCAGCCCGTGCAGAAAACCTCGTGAAGTGCTTTGAGATGTTTTGACACTGTATTTTCATCGGTGCATCAGCAAGACTACAAATCGGTCGATCCTGGTTTGACACAGATTAGTGTTTCAATTAGTTCCCACACCAGTTTTGTTTTCTCCCACAAGACTCTCCTGAGACCGTGCAAGTACAAACACAGTCTGAATGTGTGGAATGCTGCCAGAGGCGGCCGACGTTCATTCCTGCAATTCCTCGAGACAGAACTTGATAAATAGCCCCAGACAAACCTCCGCAGTGTGGCCCAGGAAACAGGTCTATAACCAGCTTCAGGGCTCTTACACAGGAATCCCAAGCTACAGAACCTGCCGGCTGTCGATAACTCGTTTTCTCCTCAATTGAAGGCAAAACGTCTTTACGAATTGCTCCCTAATCTTTTCCATTTAGTGGTCAATTTTGACATTTTTAGGATTAATTACTATGAAGAGCTTGCCTCTCTGGTTAACTCTTTGGGTGCCGGTCCACCTTTTGCTGCCTCAGAATAGTTCTCCCCCACACACACAAACATGCACTTGCCGACACAATGGCCGTGGACATTTAATACTGAACCCTGCAGAGTTAAGAGCAAGGAGCCATTGAAATCTCCTTCCATTCTTTCTCGTCCATCCCGACGAACTAGTTTTGCGAGAAATGTATTTCTTTAATCCGAATTGCAAGACAAAACCAGTCAGTTTAAACACTCATTTCAGTAACTCAATCTATATGAAAACAGTAGAAAATACCTAACACAACTCTTTATACAACAAGGGATTAGGCTTGTAGCTGGAGCTGTTATTCCATAGGTGTTTTGTGCAGTGGATAGATCACTTCCTGTGCAGAGAGTAGCATTGCCAAAGTTTCAGGGTTCAGATCAGGAGATTTAACTTCAATGCTTTCGCTACTTGATATTCAGGCTCCACCACTGTTTAAGCGCTCTGAGACACTACCCTGCATGGAGGGCGCTGTATAAGTGCAAGTTGTTGTTGTTGATAGTTGAGTCCACACCAATGCACTTAACTGCACGAGGGTTGATGCAATTCTATCCAATGGCTGTGGAACTGGAAGCAGTTTGCTTCATGGAATTCTACATTCAGTTTCTCCACACTGTTAGGGACCGGTCAATAAAGCACCTAACTCACAGGATAAGCTCGTGGAGAACTTTTCAAAGACTAGGGTCGGACGCCAAGTAAAGGGAAGGGGCCATGGGGGAAGGGATTTTATGTGACTGTTATCATTGAACAGATAACACATGAAAGGAGAGCCTTACACATGCAAACACACAAGAGACATACAAACAGACACAGACTCAGAGGGGGTGAGAATGTGGAACTCACTGTGATTGATAACATCAACGCATTCATATGCGAGGGTGAAGGGAATAGAGGAGGAGAGAGGAAATAGGAGGGGTGGGGGCTGGTGTGGGGTACAATCACTGGCCCAGACTAGTCGGGCCGAATGGCCTGTTTCCGTGCTATATCACTCCATGGAATTTTGTGCTTTTCTCAAAGGGTGCTAAGTTCAAAGGGTGCTTTCTCACAAAGCTCGTTCAGTGAGAACTGCATTGGCACCTCAAAAATAAACAGAAAATCAAACAGAATAGCAGCTTTACACTTCGCTTCCAGAGCGCTGCTGTTCAGTAATTAGCTCAGTCGTTCACTTGAATTCTAGCAACTGTTTAGCGTTTGATATGATATCCACAGGAAGCCTTTCTCAGATGAACCACATATGGTTTTGTGAAGGAACAAAATGTTTCTGACTCGAGGGGTCCCGGCCGGCTGGCAGAACTGTAACTAAAGTATTCCAAAAAAGAACAGGTTTCTACTTGTTTCCACGCACTCAGTGCCCTCAACCACATTTTTCTAGTTCGCTGAAACGCTTCCAACTTTTATCGTTGCAGGTAACCAATTTCTGCTGTTATATAACACAGGGACATACACACAGGCACAGAGATAGAAAGGGAGTAACACAAACACACAGAGACATGCAGACAGAGACACAGACAGACATATACTCAAATGATCCACACAACTTACACAGAAAAACAAGAGGAAACGGACATAAGATATAGCTACAAACAAATTGCCCTACAAATACAAAGTGACTACACTTTAACCTGAAGTGCTTTGAGACGTTTCAACAACGCGATAAGGCGCTATATCAAATGCAAGGCTTATTTATTACAATGCACACAATATACAAGCAAAGTGAGAGAAGACAATGCAAAATACACACGCATATATATATACACACACACATACAGTACAGAAGAGAGAAAAAAAGATGTATATATCATATACACACACAGAAACACTCAGATATGCACAGAGAGATACACATCTTAAACAGAGAGAGAGATGAATAGACATACAATACTGTACAAACACATATTAAATGCCTGTTGCATTTCAACTGAGTTGAATTAAGTAATAATAATAATAATAATAATAATAATAATCCTTGCATTTGATATAGCGCTTTTCACGTCGGGAGGACGTCCCAAAGCGCTTCACAGAACACACTGTAAAGTGAATTGACTGTATATTTGTGGGCGAACGCGGCAGCCAATTGCGCACAGCAATGTCCCACAAACAGTCGTGGATTGAAAATGACCAATTTATTATTGGTTTTGGTTTTGAAGGGATTATTATTAGGTGTGTGGAGTAAGGAAACTTGCCCAAGGTTTCGCCCTCTGCCTGGAATTGAACTCAGGTCTCTCGCTTGCAAAGCGAGTGCTCTAACCACTGAGCTACAGGACTCCACCAATCTTGGGATGAGAAGTAAATCTCATCCCAAGATAATAATAATAATCCTTGCATTTGATATAACGCCTTATCACAAGATCCAGATGTGTCTGTTTTACACTCCGTGTTTCTCACCCATTCCTTAACTTGTACCTATTTATTATCTAAACAAAATAAATTGCTCCGTTTATGTAAAGAACTTGGAACAGAATTACTTCCTTGTGTGTGTACCAATGCACTGACTCATGTCTCCTCTATTTTTTTGCTGGGTTGTAGGGCGGGGGGGGCTGAGAAGTCAGGGTCAGTTGTTGGGAGGGGAGCTGGGTGGGGGGAGCGGGAGTGGGGGGGGGGGGGGGGGGGAGAGATTTTCTGCTTTTGTTTTGTGGTTCAGTGATTTTCCCAGAGCAAAGCGGAGACACTACCCAGACTGCTGATCGCCAGCAGCATTTACCGATCCAGTGTTAAGCCGACTCTTGAGACCCGAGGACCTTGTAATCCCGACAAAACATTCCCTCGGTCATTAAGGGTTGTGCAATGTTTGTGCACCAAACAACAAGTGGGAGGCAGTGAGCGCTGCTTTCAAAAACAAACAGTGTCGATCTCAGCCGAGCTGCCACAGGACGGTGCCAAGTGTAGGCCAGACGCTTCCCGTAGGAAGTGGAGGAAACTCCAAATTGAAGGTTACCCTGAAAAGGTCCCGTGCAGCTCTCATCGTTGGTTTTATTTTTAAAGCCCTACGCAGTCGTGCTCCGCCACCTTTTACCACCTTTTACCACCTCCGTTCGGCGGGCACCGGCCTGCTCCGCCCCACCATCGGCGGTTGAGCCTTCAGTTTTTCTGCCCCCACTCTCTGGAACTCCATCCTCGAATCCCTTCGTCTCAAGACCTTCCTTTTTGGCCGTGCCCTTCGGTCACACTCCCACCCCCACCCCTTGATTCCAACCCCCAGCCTTTCACTGTCAGGCGCCTTGGGACGTCCTTCCGACATTAAAGGCGTTGATAAATGTACCTTGTTGTTGTTTTATAGGAGCAATGGAAGCAGCCAGGCTCTCTCTCAGCCACGTGTGGGGATACAGGTCTTTTTTTTGCTCTGGTGTCTGACACATGTGGAAAACCACTGCTTAGAGAATATCCAACTCGACAAAATGCCGTGTAAATGCGCCAACTGTTTATTGAAATTTTCGCTGTGTCCTGAATGGAAGGACGCACACCGCTTTACCTAATTCCAGAAAGTTTAAGTGCAAGTTGGTCAAGGCTTGTGTGCCCTAGAGTGTCCATTGGGACAACTGGACAAGGTTCCTGCTGCTTGTCCAGCTTGGAACTCAGGCAACACCTCACACAGGAGTGGGCAAGGTTGACGCTTCCAAACCTATCTAACATGTCCACTTTGTCCAGCATTGTCTGTCAGCGCTGGTATTTCAGCTAAGAAATGGCAGGGGCAATACTGGCAAACAGCACAACACGAATCCTAATATTAGGATTTATGGGACTTGCATTTCAGAAGCTCTCTGGCCAATTCAATCGGCTTTTCCCCTGCTGGGTAATCTACACCTTGTTATTCGGTTTTAAGCCTCATGGGCAGAAGAGACTTAGCTGCTTTTCTTCTGAAGAGTGAATTATTCTGTGTAAACGCTTGCAGAGTCTGCACACTGGGCTCGCTAATCGAGAGCGGATCTCATGCCACTGGAGACTGTAATTAGTATGGATCCACTGTTTTAGGGCTGTTGGCAGCTGGATACAGGGCACAGCTGGAAATGCAGTTGTTCTGAACTAACTGGAGTGCATTCTGCTCTCTATTAACGGAGTGACAAAGGTAGCCAAACCACAAGATCCCAAGAGACTTTTCAAATGAAGAAGGCCCTTTGGCCCATTAGTGTGTCAGCCTGGCTCAGTTGGTAGCGCTTTTGTCTCTGAGAAAGAAGTCTGTGACTTCAAGCCCCAGAAATCCTAGTCTAGGGGTGAGGATGACACTCCAGTGCATTGCTGGGGGCATGTGCTTCATTGTCGGAGGTGCCCTCCTTCAGTTAAAGCGAGGTCCAGTCTGCCTATTCAGATGTTAATCATTCCCTGGCACTATTCAAAAAGACAAAGGGTGTTTCCTCCCAGTGTTATGGCCAACAATTCTCCTGGTACAATTGGCCTTGCACTTCATAGCTGTTTGTGCCGCATTTGCTCATAGAATGAACAGTCACTACACTTTACAGTAAATCTTGTCAAGCGTTTGTGAAACATCACAATGATGTAATAAGGCGCCATATGAAATATAAGGATTATTATGAATCATTATTATAGCATCAAGCCATTTCTTAAAGGAGTCCAATACCCTAATAATAATCCTTGCATTTGATATAGCGCCTCATCATGTCGTTGAGACGTTTCAAATCGCTTCACAGAATATACTCTAAAGTGAATTGACTGTATATTTTGTGAGCGAAACTGTCTGCAGACGTTTCAGACTTTGCTGCAACTGAAGCTTCAAATTAACCCCCAAAACGTATCGAAAAAACGAGAAGACTGACTGACTGACCTGGATATGTTCCGACCAATTCTCTTCGGACATACTCTTCTGCGTGGAGAAGAAGAAAATGAAGTTAGCAGGCACAGCACAGACTCATTGACTCCTCACTGCCAACAGAACGAGAGCTGCTGGTGTCCTTGATACCCGTTGACCCCACCCTGCCTGCGGTGCCTCACCCTATCTGACACTCCCCACACTACCTGGCGAAGAGCACCAAGAAAACCAGAGGAACAAGACACAACATTACATTAAGGCCAATGTAACCTGCCATCAAACTATGTTGTGCTGAAATCTAGGTCACTGAAATACAAAGTGAACTGGACTCACCTCCACAAACCTTTTGTGTAAGAGATACTTGACAGATGCCAGGTAACGCTGATTTACTACATTTGGGCAGATTGCTGCAGGAAGCAAGAAAACAAGATCCTCTTATTCTTATTTAAATATTCTCAGGTTTTTCAGCTTTAAACAATGCTTTGGTGATTCACGGCTGATTTATTTCCCTCTTTCCCTGTGTTTTTTCAAAAAGCGCAAGCAACATTTTATCCTGACTTATTCCTCCAATACTTTCCACTTAGCGTTACATTAACAGACTGCATCAAAGAAAGCAGCGATTCCAAACAGGATTCCTTAAAATCTCCTTCTGGTAACTGGAAACATGTGCGGCTGATCTGGGGGAAGACTCTACTCTTTATGATCAGGGAGATGTTCCCGCTGGTCAGCGATACGCTTCCGCGTGTCTTATTAAGGAATCCTGTTTGAAACGGTCGCACAATAAACCCCAACATGGGTGCAAAAAGAAACAGGAGTGTTTATACGAGTCTCTGCTGCTGCTGGGAAGAGCTGTCAAATGTGGGAAACATTCCACCATCTTCCAGACATGCAACCGTCCAGATAGTCTGCCTCTGGCACTTTCACTTCCAAAACAAATACCTTCTGGAATTGTGTCCAAAAGCCTGCCGCGGGTCACGTGAGGCCCAAAACAAAGCACCGACGGCGCTTTGTACCGGCACTTAAGAGATTCTCTTTAATAACCTGTTCGGCACTGAGACGGTCCGTGAATGTTCCTAACCTGCCCCCTGCTGCTGAAGCTTTGTACTGTAATACCTATCGCATTGCGCAGCAAAAGTAAATCGAGTCTGTACTACAGACAAAGTGTCGTCAGTGGCGGGCGGGCGGGCTGGCCCCCCGAAAGTATTCAGGATTCGCCCTCCCATATCGGTATCATTCCCAACCCTGTCACCTTCGCAGCGCGCAAGTGCCTGTAAGGCCGATGTGTGGCTGTGCAAAGGGTTAGTGTCTGTCAGACCATTCCTGGGGACCAGGTGATGGCGCGGCTATTTTCATGGAAGAATTCCCAAAGAGCCGGTCCGCCCTGCCTGTTCAATGCTATCCTCACCTCCAGCCTCTCCCGAGCTGCAGTTCAAACCCAGACAGACCGTATCCTGCACAATGTGTCTTTACTAAACGCAAGAGGTTTTGAAATAAATCAGTCCTGTTTTTCTCCACTGACCATCTTAAACGGGAATGAGAATATAAAGCCAAAACAAGATAAATCAAGGCAGTGGCATTACAAGAGGATACAAGGTCAGGGTTCAATGGACATTTTCAGGACAGCCACCAGGACGTATTTCTTTACCCAGAGAGTAATTAATGACTAAGGTGGGGTTCCCAGGAAGGGTGGTTTAAGTCCAGGAAGATGAACGTATTTAAGAAACAGCTTGATGCTGTGCTGGGAGGTGAGATATTCCAAAAGGATGTCATCAATTGGGGTCAAAGGACCTTCTATGAATGAATGACTGATGCAACAGCATGTGGAAAGGAAGTGTGGATAATAGATAAGTTTAGGGCATACAACAAGTACACCATATACACCATATACTGTGTATACAAATACACAGACACTATGTATTTGCATAGCAGGAATATACTATTATAATCTTTCACTACAGTATATAATTTACAGCGTTTAGCTCACAAAACCCATCCACCTGGCCAGTATTTGCCTGTTCACAGACCATTCCTACCTGGGTCAATGCCATAGAGCTCCAACAATCTGAACACCAGTTTACTTAAGACTTTGCGGTTCAATTTTTCCCATCTTATATGTACCACCCTTTCGTAACGCCTAGAAGAAAAGAATCAGCAAACAGCACAATTATTGCAGAGTTCCCAATGCGCTGGTTGAAAATAGAAGGGAGTTTCTCCCGGTGTCCTGACCAACAATGTTCCAGATTTTACAAAAATTGTTAATTCACTTTGTGGCTGTTTGAGTGTTCTTGCTGTATGCAAATTGGCTGCTGGGTCAACCTATAACTACTACACAGCACTACACTTTACCATATATCCTGTGAAGCGTTTTGAGATGCTTGATGTGAAAAGCGTTATATGAAATGCAATGATATTCTTTCCCTGAAGACCCATAGGAGCTGGCCACACTCTGTCAAACCGTGCTCCAAGACGCTATCCCGCATGAAAGGCGCTGTATAAATGCAAGTTGTTTTTGTCCTCACCTCTCTGAAGTGCCTACATGTGAGCAGGGGTTACCTGAACGCCTTCAAGTGCAAAAATAGTCTTCAACAGTATGTGAAGAATGCAAAAAAAGACCTGTAAAGTGTCTACATAATAATAATAATAATAATAATCCTTGAATTTGATATAGCGTCTTATCACATTGTGGCGATTTCTCAAAGCACTTCGCAGAATATACCATGAAGTGAATTGGCTGTATATTTTGTGAGCGAAATGCAGCAGCCAATTGCGCACAGGAGTGTCCTACAAACAGTCGTGGATTGAGTGACCAAATTATTATCATTTTATTTATTTTCTCATCCAGTAGAAGCTGAGCCGAGCTGATGATAGTGCAGAGGAAAGTCGTGTCAGGGCTGCTCTGCCCAGAGGCTTTTTCTGTCTCCAGGCTCCAGCTATTTATTAAGAAATCATTGTTCAAACCAAGCAACGTACAGGGTACATAATTCATCCTAATGCTATCTGGGCTTGAATGTGAAAGTACACGTGTTAAAGGATTAACCTCGGGAAATAAATCACGTGAAGAAATGGCTTTGGACGTGACTGCTCACAGGAGTTGTTGCTGTGTGCCTTGTGTTCAGTAACATCGCTGAGATTGTATTCTGAAGATCTCAATCTCACTCTACTTCTGTACAATAGGGTTCAAAACGATGTATTGATTCAAATGATGTTTGTCCTGGATACAATCATAGAATATTACAGCATGAAAAGAGGCCATTCAGCCCATCGTGCCTGTGCTGGCTCTTTGGAAGAGCTACCCATTCAGTCCCACTCCCCCGCTCGTTCCCCATATCCTTGCAAATTTTTCCTTTTCAAGTACCTAGCCAATTCCCTTTTGAAAGATGTTGTTGAATCTGTTTCCACCACCCTTTCAGGCAATGCATTCCAGAATAAAACTCAAATAAAGATGTTTCAAAGGCTATATTCCAGTTTATATGTGGATATGCATAAACATTTGAATTAACACTCATCAGGACAGCCTAGGCTGGTGCTCGAGTGCAGTGTTTGGGGGTAGCCTGCATTGCCAGAGATGCTGTCCTTCAAACGAGATGTTAAAATCTAAGATCCCGACTGCCGGTTTAGGTGGGCATTTAAACAAGTCGTCACACTATTCCAAACAAGAAGGCGTTTCTCATGGTGTCCTGATCAGAAATGCTCCAAAACACAAATCAGTCATTCACCTTTTGACAGTTTGTAGGAGACTGCTGTGTGCAATTGACTGCTAAGTTCACCAATAAATACACTATAGTCACTGCACATAATATTCAATCCACAACTGTTTGTGGAACACTGCTGTGCGCAATTGGCTGCCGCGTTTCACCCACAAAATACAGTCAATCCACTTTGCAGTATATCCTGTGAAGCGCTTTCGAGACGTCTCCACGACATGATAAGGCGCAATATCAAATGCAATAATTATTATTATTATTAATATATTTATTCTGAACGTCGAATATCCAAGGTGAAATAAACTGTTCAAAAATAATAAAGTGTCTTTGGTGGAGTATAGCCGGTTCCCATGTTTACACTGCACTGTTTTAATTCGGTGCAAATTTGCACAAATGGGTTCTGGACAAATAAGCTAATTGTGTTAGCACTGACTCAACTGGTTTCTTTGAACAAAGTCTCGGGCATCAGTTACACTGGGATCAAAGAGAGGATTTCTTTATCCTGGCTGCCATACACAGACTACAGGAAAGGCTGGACTTCTCTTTGTTATCAACAAAGCGCAGTTCTCCACGTGAAGGGGCTTTGTGTTTGTCAATCAGAAATGCAACTTTACTTCATAAAAACAGAATAACAACAACTCCAGGAGTAAAACTACACTCTGGGATGAGGACGGCGGAAAATCCCATTCAAACAAAAGGATGTGGAAACGCTTTAGCTCAGTGGACAATATTACCATTTTGTTTCCCTGAAAGATTTCCCTTGACTCTTGCGCATCCATCAAGGGCAGTTTGGGATTCTGTATTCACCAATGTATCGGACACTAATAAACGTAATAATAGTAATAATAATCCTTGCATTTGACATAGCGCTTTTCACGTCTTCTCGATGTCTCAAAGCGCTTCATGGAATATGCTGTAAAGTGAATTGACCGTATATTCGTGGGCAAAACCCGGCGGCCAATTGCGCACAGCAGAGTCCCACAAACAGTCGTGGATTGAAAAAATTTGTCAAAGTGCTTCACAGGATTGACTGTAGAGTGTAGCAACCGTGTGTTTTGTAGGAGAAGGCAGCAGCCAATTTGGTACACATCAAAACAGTACATCAACTTAAACCTGCTCTGCTGCAATTTTTAACTTATATTGGGTATTAATAAACGATGTATATGTATGTAGGCTTGCCTTATAAAGGACACCAGTTATACCTACTGTTGTATATTCTGATAGAATAGGGTTATACCTTCTGATGTCTCTAATGTTAACCGTTGAATCACACCACGAATCGAGTGTCTGCACTAGCTGTCGTTGTAAGTCTGGATAATCAGCCACGTAAGCTTCGACCAGGTTGGTTTTATCTTGAAGAAGTAGCGGAATACACATCTGCGACAAGAGAGAAACACTCTGTAAAACACCAGGGCCCATAATAAACAGAAGCCTCTTTATAAAGAAGTGATCAGGTGAATAACAGCATCCGAATCAAATAAACATCACCAACAACGACAACTTGCATTTATATGGCGCCCTTTAAGTCTCAGAGAGCTTGACTGTGCCGGAGTCTGATCCCGAGCCAGGGGGAGAGGGAAGGGGGAGGTGACCGTAAGCACGATCAAAAAGGAAAGTCTTTAGGCAGAATTTGAAAATGGGAAGGGAGGGAAGAGAGGGAGGGAGGAGGCAAGGCGGAGGGATTAAGGGAGAGAGCTCCAGAGTTTTGGGGCTGAGTGGCTAAAGGCACGGCCACAGATGGTGGAGCGGAGGGTACGAGGAACAAACAGGAGCCACCTGAGCGGAGGCAGGGGGTGGTGGAGTGAGTGGGTGAATGAAAGGAACCTGTCCAACCCACCTGGGACAGCCGTGTGAAAGATGAAAGGACAGTGTCTAGCCACACTGTACCATTAATAATATAGATATAGGTAACAATGGTGTAGCCTGCGCAGAGCAGAGCTAATTCAGCGCACACATGGAATTAGTTGAGCAGCTTCACGAATGCACTGCCCATTTCTCATCGGTTTAAGATTGATTGTTAGTGCTTTCAGTTGTTAACACATGTTGCCGAGTGGGACAGGACAGGACGGGCTGGAGGGAGATTCCCTGCTCCGCAGCTCGCTATCTGAAGTGGAATTCTCTAACGCTCCATTTTTTCTGACAGCCGTCCAAAAGTCCACTTACCTCCTCCACATCGAGGGCAGGCTGCAACCGCATCTTGATACTCAGTGAAACAGCCTGAAATCAAGGGAGGGGGGAGAACACATTCAGAGACTGCACCATTAACAGTCTGTTAACAGTTTGAAATAAGTAACTTGGTTGACAAGGAGCTAAATCACAATTGGTTTGCGCAGGGTCGGGGGACACTTCGCACAGAGGACACAACGGTGGGGGGTGTGGGGAGGGTCACCCTCTCCCTCACACACACTCTCTCTCACTCTCAGAGGTTTTATTTCGGATACTTCAGGGTGTCTGTGACCTCGGGATTACCCCGGAGAGGGGGGGGATAGTGACCTCGGTGGAGAGTCTCACTCACCTCAAGCCGTCACTGGGACCTCGGGATGTTATTGCTCCCGCAAACACACTGTTACTTGCCGGCTCAGTAACCCGCAGCACTGCTGATCTCAGACACGGCGTCAACAACAACTTGCATTTATACAGCATCCTTCACGCAGGGTAAGGCCCAGGAGCGCCTAACAGTGGGGGAGCACCAGACGCAGAGCCGGGAAGGAGACAGGTGACCGTAAGCACGGTCGAAGGGGAAGGTCTTGCTTTCCTCCATGGGGAATAGTTGGGTTGTGGAATACCTTGATTGAATAGGAAATAACTATCACAGAAGCAAAGAACTTCACAGCACAGAAGAAGAGCCTTTTGGCTTATCGCGTCTGTGTTGGAAGGTCTCCAGACGTGATCTAAAAACAGGGAAGAAGGGGACGAGGAGAGGCACAAGAGGAGCCCTGAAATTCCTCAAGTCTTAGCCTTAAGATTGTCGTATCGGAATATAATATCTTCCAGAGTTTTGGAAAATTCTTAAATTAGGAAACCTGCTGACAGCAATTCCGGGAAAGAACTGGAAGGAACTAAGGAGCTGCCGTGCACACAGTGCGAGCATGTCATCTCCAGCTCTACATAAAAATAATAATTTGGTCATTTCAATCCACGACCGTTTGTGGGGACGCTGCTGTACGCAATTGGTTGCCACGTTTCGCCCACAAAATATACACTTAATTCACTTTACAGTGTATTCTGTGAAGGCTTTGAGACGTCTCAATGACGCGATAAGGTGCTATGGCAAATACAAGGAGTATTATTATTATGATACCACCCAAGGAATCATCCAGGAAATGGAGGAACGAAGGGGGAAAAAGTCTATAGGAAGAGAGTAAACATGGAATTTCCATTCAACATTTTTTTTCCCTTTAATATCCCACGTTATTAATTTTGTTATTGCAAAGTTTCAAACAGACGTCTTACACTCGCGCCAAACACTGCTTTCCCCCAGGAAGCCAGCTCAGAGCAAACAATATCACTGAATGTTTCCAAATTCTGTCGAGTGTTTACTCACTGAATAAGCCCTTCAAGCAATGTGAGATAAGACCCAGGGGAGCTGCCTGGGAAGAGATTTATACAGCAGATGAGTTAAGCATTCCAGTAGATATGACTGCTATTAGGAGTATTTAGCCTTTACCCCCAATCAATTTAAGACGAGCGATTAACCTTCCGAGATCTGTAAGGGCAATATGGATAAAGTTTAACCCTGTGATGACCAGAGTAAACTGTTCTAGTCGGACAGAATACTGGGAACCACACTGATGTCAAACTCTGTTCAAAAGGGGAAATTCAGATTTTTTTTAAACGCAGAGGATTGTTAGGATGTGGAATGCCCTGCTGGGAGCAGTGGTTGGGGCAGCTTTCAAGAGGGGACTAGATAGGCAAGTAATGGGAAAAGTGTTAGAGGGACCTCTAATAATAATAATTCTTGCATTTGATATAGCGCTTTTCACATCTTTTAGACAGATATCTAAAGAGGAGCAATTGTAGGAGCCATGGAGAAAATAACGATCCTTGCATTTGCATTTGATGTAGCACCTTATCACATCGTTGAGACGTCTCAGAGCATTTCACCGGATATACTAGAAAGTGGATTGGCTGTGTTTGAAAGTGGGGAATTGAATCAAATTGATTTTTAAAGGCGCCAACGCAGACACGATAGGCCGAAAGCCCTTCTTCTGTGCTGTAAAGTTCTTTGGTTCTATGATAATGTTATTTCCTATTCAATCAAGGTATTCCACAGCCCGATTATTCCCCATAGAGGAAAGCAAACAAATCCTGCTGTAAAAGCACATTAATAATAGTTATGTTATGGAACTCCAGGGGCAGAGGAAATTGCACAGTTTATGATTAATAACAATAATCCTCCGTGTGATATAGCGCCTGAAACATTTCAAAGCATTTCATTGTTGATTGCAGTGACTGAATTGTTTAAGCGAATGTTTAAGAAGCTAATTTGCACACAACAATGGCCCTCGAACAGCCGGGAGAAATACCATCATGGTCATTATATACGTAGTATATATATATGAAAATATTTTTATTGGGATAATTGCTTCTGTGGAGAGATAACCATCAAGTCTCAGCAGCACCGTCTGTCACTGAAGACATTTCACGGAGTTAGTGCTTCAATGCAGCGCGTAATATCATACCAGTCAAATAGAGTTCACTTTCACTAAAAACCTTACACCCGTTGATCCCTTTAACATGAAAGTCTGGTGATACGTAAGCATTCTGTCTGGTCGGACAGACATACTGCGTGTTAACAGGGCTCTGTTATCTGTATTCGGCACAAAACTGTTTATGTGACCATTACTTGTCAAAATCAATCAGTGGATCCAACTGGCTGCATCTGGCAGCGTGCTCTGCTTGCATAATCATTTCATCGTGCTGGGTATCAATTTCCATCTGAATTCATATTGCCTAATGCAATCAACAATGGAATTAATACACCATCTGAATTACTCGCTTATCCAAACAGCGATGCTTCCTGTTCAGATCAACGGCATCCAAGTCTATTCATTCAGACAAGTTAACTGCGAGTGGTTGTGTCACTCCACTTTAGAATATTTGCCATTGGAAACAGATGAGGCTGTTGAATGGGAATTTGTTGAGATGAGTGTCCATAGTTAACTTAAGCAGTGCCTTTATAATGCTCAGTTCCACGAGTTACATAGAGCCCCCACTCCTATTCCCATCACCTATAACCCTTAATTCTCTTCTTCTTCTTCTTCTTCTTCTTCTTCTTCTTCTTCTTCACTAATGTACACAACTTCCAGCAGTGAGTTCCAGATTCTCGCTACCCTCTGCTTGAAGGAGTTCCTCCTAAGCTCCCCCATTAGAGCTACTTTCCCCAATAAATTATTGAGCTGATGGAGACAGTGTGTTGAAACTGTAATGATCCAATTATTCCCAGTATAGCCTCAATGCCAAGTGGGCATCGAGAAAAAGACCTAACTCCTGTTACCATATACAAGACACAGAAGAGGCCATTCTGCCCATTCTGTCGGTGTTGGTACTAACTTTCTTCTGTGTTGATGCTGTTTCCTTCACTAACTCCATTTCTGTCCCCTCTTTGTATTTAGCCAATTCCCTTTTAAGTGGAAATCCATTTGCCTCTGTGGAGTCCAAACATTTTTGATGTCTTTTCCTCTGCAACTGATCCCTTGAGTCGTACTGTGTACGGTAAAGTCCCAGTATAGGAGTGTTCTGTATGTCATTTTTTCCCTCTCATCATTTCCTCGCAGTAGGACCCGATCATGGGACCTGGCGGGGGAGGTTTATAGTCGCTGCTGGAAACAGATTATGATAAATTATGATACAAATTATTATACTAGGTGCCAATTGGAACTCTGCAGATACTTGAGAGTCAGTGGTATCCGAACCAACAAGGGTGCCTGCTGTTTCCAGATGTACTGGTGGCTGAACACCAACTGAGAAGCTTCCAAAGAATCATCAACAAGTCTAATAATAATCCTTGCGTTTGATATAATGCCTTATCACGTCTTCAAGACGTCTCAAAGAGCTTCACAGAATACATTGTAAAGTGAATTGACTGTGGGCGAAAAATCCCAGAGAAGCTCGAGCTAAAGGTGTCCTGGGCAATAATGCCCCAGATACAACTGTTACAACTGTCTGAGGCACCTTTCTGCTGCGCCAAACAGCTGCCATGCCTATCTGCAAAAACAATCACAGAATGCGGAAAAGGCAAATTAAAAGTACAAAGTTCTTTCTGTTTTTTTTGCCGTTGCAATGGCCTGGGCATTGTGAGCAGGCACCAACCTCAGTGTCCTCTCAGGTCTATCTGGTGTAGTGACTGACGTAGGGACAAGTAAGAAAATAACTAAACTTTTTCTTATATATATGTGTGTGGGCACGAGAAGTTACTGAATACTTCTGAATACTTAAGCATGCACTCTCCCAGTCGCTCTCTGCTGCACAAAGTGATACCTCCACTTTTTACAACGCTCTCCTTCAAACATCTAGAAGGCAGCATCCAGCTCAGTGCACATCCCAGGAACACACTGTAAGGGATTCCTACCCCACACTGCGCTCAGCAGCACTCATCAACAACCACCCTTACATTTATATCCGAGATAACGCCTCGAAGCACTTAAGTCTTAAAGCGTTTTGCATGACTTGCAGTGTAGTAACTGCAGGCGAACACGACTGCCAATGTGTGCACAACAATGTCCCACCAAATGATGTGAAATGAATGAATAACCAGTTTCTATCTGGGGGGAATGTTGGCCGGAACACCGAGAGAAACTGCCTCGCTGCTGCATGAGACGCGGAGTACAATGAAGGACTCGAGGGCTCCCGAAACAATGGGGCCAAGCAGTAGGAGAGCAACCTTTCTCTACGTCAACAGCACAAATTCTACATCTAATATCAAACAGATGGTGGGTAGGCAGCTACTCAATCGTGCGGTTTGGATGATGGAATTTGATCGTTTGCTTTGCAACTTCACTCCTAGACAGCAATCATTTTCATTTGTACAGCACCTTAAGGAGGAGGATATCTCCACGCGCTTAACGGAGACAGCGAAGGAGCCAGACCTGCGTAGGAGTCAGATGCTGTGGGGGGGCGGGTGGCGGGGAGGGGAGATTGGGAGGGAGGAGAGGTGACCAAAAGCACAGCTGAAGAGATTTTATTTTAGACAGAAAGCAGAGAGGGAGGGAAAGAGGTGGAGGGATTTAAGGAGAAGTTCCATGGGGTGGGGGTGGGGGAAAAGATACCCAAAGATAGCTGGAAGCTTGCCCGCCCCAAGGGAGGGGGGGGGGGGGGGAATATGAAAGGTGTCTGAGCTGGAAGAGCATTCCTTTCCGGCAGGAATCATCAGATAATAATCAGAAACACAGCTGGATTTTTTCCTCTCCTTATGCTTTGAGCACTAACCCATAATGTAGTATCCTTATGTCACCAAGGCTCAGCAAACTAGGTACAGACCGGGAATTCAGTGCTCCGAGACCCTAACCAGCATGAAGGGCACTATAATAAATAAAGGTTGGTGTTGTTGAACCTTCGAGTAGTGGTAATGGAGGCTGACGGTTTTTTTTAACATGTCATTTCCTGCCCTCCTCTGAATGTGCTGCCTCGAGTTGGTTAGAGCTCCACACAACACTTAGGCAGCCAGTCTTAATGGGCTACTCAGCCCAAAAAATATACAGTCAATTCACTTTACAGTATATCCTGTGAATCGCTTTGAGATGTCTCGAAGACAAGATAAGGCATTATATCAAATGCAAGTATTATTATTATTATTATAGGGGAGTACTGTACCATTTGTGGAGTCCTGTAGCTCAGTGGTTAGAGCACTCGCTTTGCAAGTGAGAGACCTGAGTTCAATTCCAGGCAGAGGGCGAAACCTTGGGCAAGTTTCCTTACTCCACACAGAGCCTAATAATAATCCCTCCAAAACCAAAAACAATAATAAATTGGTCATTTTCAATCCACGACTGTTTGTGGGACATTGCTGTGCGCAATTGGCTGCCGCGTTCGCCCACAAATATACAGTCAATTCACTTTACAGTATATTCTGTGAAGCGCTTTGGGACGTCCTCCCGACGTGAAAAGCGCTATATCAAATGCAAGGATTATTATTATTATTATTATTATAACTGAGGTTACGTCTATCTTCATGTGACGTCTGTACACACACTGATAGTCCAGCAAGTGTCACAGGATGGTGGGATTCCCAATTAATTTATTCCCTCACTAGCCCAGGGAGGTCGAGGCAAATGAAGTACTGCTTTCAGCTCACTCAGCAATGTAGGAACCTGGGACCAGCTTGGTTTACAGCTGAATGCCACCTAACACACATACACACTGTCTCACACGCACATGTATACACCCACACACACTTTCTCACACACACACACACACACACACAGACATGCAAATACATACTCCCTTTTCTTTTCAAAAGGTGCCGTGGGATCCTTAACGTCCACCTGAACAGGCAGACGAGATCTTAGTTTAACATTTCATCCCAATGAACGGCACCCGCAGAGAAACACTGCCACACTCCCTCTCTCCCTCCCCCCACCAGTCGATCGGCGCACGGTGTTGTCTCGTGCGCGCTCAATAAAAACACGAGGAAGGAGCCGCATTTACCGCAGTTTAAACAATGCAGTTAATATTTTTTTTTACTTCGGGACGCGTGGACTACTCTGTAGTGGTCCGGCTTCGTTTTCAACTGGACTCAATAAATACGCAGTTCTGTCGCTCCTGTCTTTTTGATGGTGCACGAGAGCGCCACCCAGCGGCGACAAGCCCCTGGTCTATAGTGTGAGCTCAAGAGTCCCGACATTGGGGGCTTCAACCCCCAATCTTCTGAATCAAGAGGTGGGGGGGGGGGGGGAGTGTTCTATCGACCGAGCCAAGGCTAACGCCACTCTCTCTCTCTCTCTCTCAAGCAAAGCTTTTTTTAACACCATATAAGAAGTGCAAAGCGGTGCTGACTGTTCCCTTTGAAACCCAGGCGTGATGCGTTACAGTTGCAGAGGGTGGAACGCGGAGCAATGCGAAGGGTTAACACCCAGTTCTTAGGCATTAATCATACTGCAAACCGGGCTCAGCCACGACCTCAGCAGCAACGAAAAAAAATGATTTCACACGAGAAAGGAGAAAAGCGACTGCAGACGGCTAAATTGCGATTATTTTTCAGCGCTATTAATAAAATCTGCTAATAGAATTCCCAGCGTACATCGGATCGCAGCAAAGGAAAACATTCGGGTCAAATTAAGATGCTTTTTACTGCTCCGAGCAAGTCACAAAAGGAGGGGCAGGAGGAGGGACATGAGAAAGGTTCTGTGTTCTCTTCCCCCAGGGCTTCGAGGGCCAGAGCGACGCAGCATTGACAAACGAACCCGGCTACAGTGGACAATGCTGAGCCTTCAGCCTCGGGGGAAGGCTGCCACCCTTGGCTATGAAATATCACAGCTAATTGCATTGTGATACCCCAAATCAAAAGTGACAAGGCTTGAATGTGGTTTCTCATCAGACTAAGCGATATCATGGGGCAGTGAACCGTGCAGCTCCTGCCAGGCTACCCTGCTCATGTGACAATGGCCCTTTTTTTTCCCCCCTCCGATCGCCTACCAGTGACAACGGGCTCTTTTCTTCTCCCGGGAACGTATGAAAAGTGCTGGAGAGTCCTCATTCATTTGCAACCAGACACCCTTTCAGAGCCTGAAGTGCAGCAGATGAGCGCGACACACTCGCTGCCCTATCACCCTCCGCTATTCTCCCTGGCACAGCTTGGGCTGCTCAGACACTTGTTAAAAAAATATCGTCACATGGCGGCATCGACGCTCCGTATGCCAGGTACATCCTCAGCAACTGGTTTTCGGAAGGCCCGCAAACAGCCGGAGCAGTCTGGATCATTTGCATGGAAAAAGAGCAGAGAAATCCCAGGGGCCCCCCACGTACAAAACACTTAACATCACAGAAATCCGAAGCTCAGCTGGAGAATCTCCAGATTTTATGCACCATGTAGTGTTTTAACGTGCACCCAGGCATTCCTTCATTGCCGTACCTTACCCCGTACAGACCTGCGCAGCCCTTCAACGTCGCTAGAAATGTAATCATTTCACGTATGTGCGGTTTCCGTCCATCTGGTAGTGGAGTGCGCACGCACTCTCTCTCTCTCTCTCTCTCTCACCCCTGCTTACCTAATCCTGGAGAGTTTAGGCTAGGGTTGGTGAGAGCCAAGGTTTTGGGGATCCCAGAGTGTGCGTTGCAGTACTGTTGGAGCTAAACCAGCTAAAGCCACGCAGCTTGCCATTGTGAACACTGGCAAGCTTCCCGTTGCTTGTCCAGCTACTGCCACCCTACCCGTTAGCACTCTGGCTTGCAGAGTTAGCAGGAGCCAAGTTGGAAGTATCCCAGCTCACAGTTACTGGTTCTTCCAAGTCCAGCCAATGAGCCAGGCTGCTTGATTCGGCATCAACAGGAATTACGGCGCATCTGGCTCAGGAACAGGACGGCCAATTCCTGGGCAGGCTTGATTAGCCGGGCACTGATACACGCTGGAAATCACTATGGGGAATCCCATGTCACATCACCTTTCGTCTGCTCTGTGCACCTGATAACAAAGAGGACATCACACTGCGCCAAGCAAGTTTGAAATATTCCAAACCCCACTAAACCATGATGCAAAAGCCCCAGTTCAGGTCAGCTCCAGGCTTCTCTGCATGAAGTGAACTCGCGTCAATGCACACATTTCTTTTGCGCAAGAAAGCAGCAGCGGAAAAAGTGAAGGTGGGGGTGGTGGGGTTCCTTTAGGTTTCCGGATGCCAATGGGAAAGGACTGTAGGATACGGCATGAAAGCAACAACCAAGGAAAGGAAGCTCTTCAGTGCAACTCACCCCCAAGATCCCAAATCATTCCCACTCTAAGGGCAGCCAAGTTTGGCTGTGTTCCGGTATATAGCTTGTAATTATTGGCTTCAGGGAGCATTGTAAATTGGAATGGTTCTCTGGGTGCTTCTGGTAAGGCAGAGTCACGTACAGTCTGACAGGACACATACTTATTCTGAAAGCTGTGAAGGAAACTCGGAAATTATCCAAATCCAGTGAGTAACTAGCACAACATTCCATTAGGAAGGGTCTGAGAATTGTATGGTGGGTTTCCGGAGATGAGGGGAGGCAGGAAGGGTAGGCAGACTGAACGCAAAGTGACTGTCTTACGAGTCTGCCCTTATAAACATACTTATATCTGGGGAAGGGGTCTGGAAACATTACCATAAAGAGCCTTTGCTAGGAATAGCTGTAAAGCACAGTGAAAAAACAATGTCACAGCCATGTCACATTTTGCAATGAAAGCTTTGATTTCTTAAATCTGACTTTTAGAAACCATCAGAATATTCTTCCTTCTCTCTCTCCTCTCCGTCCACTCTCCTTCTCTGCCCCTCTCCCCACCTCCGCCCTACAAAATATAGAATTCTAATTCAGAAACCAGGGTGACAGCAGATGATATGAGCCTGAGGTGTTATTACAGTTGGATTTTATCCTCACGTAAACTCTGTCCACCGGGATAATGTCTTCTCAACAGCTTCACAGAACAGGCCTTACCTCCTTGTACTTGCCCTTCTGACGCATGTAAGTGACCAGGTCGAACAGGTAGGATTGGTCAGCGCTCTCCAGATCATATAGGCTGATCAGCAGACCCAGAGAATTACTGGGAGCTTCTAACAATAGGCTGAACACTCTCGGATGCAGCATCTTCTGCCTGGCGGCGGGCTGTAATATTGAAAGGAACAGAAATGGTCACCCTGCTGCGAGATACTTAGAATGGCCTCCTATGATCCTATAGATTTCTATGGTTTGAAGGCAGTTTCCGACATACGTATTGAACTGGTGCACAACTTAGATTTACACCCTTCACAGAAAGCGATAGCCCGGCTTTCATTGCTCAATAGACTGATTCAAACCACGTCTCCTTGGCCTTTGGAGAATAGCAGAGTTGAACCCAATCATGTCCTTATCCAAGGCCCACGTGCACCCATTCAGCAAGGTCATCACTGATCAGGATGAGGACCCTGGTTGTTTTAACCGTATCCCCCCCCCCATGTTTTGTGACTAGCCACAAGTGCCCCAGCTCATATCAGCACAGGCAGGGGACAGAACCTGAGATCAGTGTCAGACCATGGGGTGTATCTCCTCTCTGAATCAGCCAAGGGAGGAAGTGAGTGAGTGAGTGAGTGAGTGAGTGAGGGAGGGAGGGAGGGAGGGAGGGAGCGAGTGAGCCAGCGAGCGAGCCAGGGAGCGAGCAGCATTTAATATTGTGGTTGGTACTAATAACGAACGAATAGGTTGTATTCCGACAGGTTTCGTACACAAAATACACAGTCAATTCACTTAATGGTATATTCTGTGAAGCGCTTTGAGACGTCTTGAAGACATGATAAGGCTCTGTATCAAATGCAAGGATTATTAATATAATAATTATCTTCATTATGACTGGACGCATCTTGCAGTGGTGAGTAAAGGAATGTGCTGTGCTGTATGCTGGAATTAAGGTCTTTGGTCCCGACCTGCTGAACGGGAGGGTGCTCTTTTATCCATCTGTCAAACTCGCTGATGATGTAATACCCCAGGGACTGAGCCTTTCCCTTTCTCCAGTTGTGGCAGCTCTCCAGCAGAACCAGGACTCCTTCGTGCGGGTCAGTCAGCGAAGCAAATCCTCGCCCGGCTTCTTCTCGGAGCTGAGGAGACAAAAGGGGTTGTGAACAAAAAGAGGGAGGCCCCTAATCTCCAAGGAAACAAAAGGCCGCTGCTAATTTATTCACCCGAGGTAACTGTTACTCTCGATCCCCCCATCCCACTTGCTGTGACAGTATGCGTCGGTTTGGATTCCTTAACACTTCACTTCACCGCAACAGCAGCCTGTGAAAGGGCAATTGTCCCCACTAATTATCCCGTAAACATGCAAAGCGCGACAATGCCATCCACTAACACAGACAAAAGGTGCTTTCACTGCTTGGCAGTGACAGAGCAGGCAGACGGCTTTTAGAGAACTGTCACTTGAGCCGTCCCTGAAAGGCCACATTCCTCCGAGCTTCCCTTCCCATAAGGTTGGAATTAAACAAAGAGCAAAGGAGAGCTGACATGATCGCGCTTGCTAAGCACTTCACTGGGGCTGGTGCGGCACAGGAATCTCTGGGCGAGGGAGTACAGGAGGGGAAAGTGATTTCCTGATAGGGTAACTGAGATTTCTGGGCGACACTTTTTCACTGACTGGTTCACCTCCATGTATCACCCAGTCAAGAGTCGCGCTTTAAACTCTCCTCCCTCTCACGCAAACCTCTCACTGTGACAGCCCTTTACCCCTATCACCCCCGCCATCGCCCACCGCCCTCCCCCCCCCACCCACTGTTGCCGCACCGTGATCTGCTTAAATCAGGAGAAGAGTTCAAAACGTCACTTGCGAATGAATAAAAAAGGAACTGGTGTTTTTTTGTAGTGCCCTGTCACGTTGAAGCAGCTCAAAATGCTTCACAAGTGATTACTGTCAAATTCTGGAGCCTGTTTTTATAGCCAAACACGACAGCCATTTGTGCCAACGAGGTCCCACTCACAGCCATGAGCTGACTGACCAATTAGACTGGAGGATTGCTGGCCAGGACACTGGGAGGAACTCCCTTCTCTTTTCCAATGGTGCCATTTGATCTTTTAATGTCAAGCTAGACAGACAGACGGGACCTGTTTTAACATCTCATCAGAAGGCTGGTATCACCAATAATGCAGCGCTCCCCCCCCTCTCCCCTCCCCCAACACTGTAACGTGCCAGCCTAGACTGTGAGCTCAAAGTCCCCGACGTGGGGCTTGAACTCATAACCTCCTGCAGCAGATAACCAACTCATAACCAACTGAGGCAGGCTGTCACATGAGTTTTTTTCTCTCAACAAAAATAATCTCTCTGGTGGTTTCCACAATCACTGTGTATCATAATGAGGTTTACACTGGCATCCCATCCCCCAGAGCATCGAGTTCAAGATCCTCATCCTCACTTTTAAAGCCCTCCATATCTTGCCCCATCCTTCCCCATCTGTGAAGCGCTCTGAGACGTTTCAACGACCCGATAAGGCGCTATATCAAATGCAAGGATTATTATTATTATTATCTCTGTGACCTTCTAGAACTTACCAATCCAATCCACCCTTTCCCTTTGCTCTGCAGACAGCTTTACATCCTCCACTCTCCCCGTGTCACCAATGGCGGTCAGCCTTTCAGTCTATCTGCCTCCACCCTCTGGAACTGCAAGTCAACTGGACGTGGGGAGGACGTCCCAAATCCCAGAGCCCGTCACCTTGCCCCTTCCCTCACCTCCTTCAAGGTCCATCTCAAGATCTTCCTCTTTGACCACATCTTTGGTCATCTTCCCCCTTGGCCCGTTCCTCTCTTGAATCCAACCCTCAGCTCAGTTGTAAAGCCTCAACTGTCCAGAACCTTGGAACATCGATATAATTGCAATTTGTTCTTGTTGTTTTATTCTAAACTTGAACTTGATACCAACTAATTCCTGTACTTAAGTCTCTGAATAAACTGGGTGCTTCTTTCATTCATGCATAGCTTCAAATATGTAGAGTATTCACCTATACACACAATTCAACCCTGGCTGGCTTCCCTTCAGATATTAGATTGAGGACACAGTCTAGAGACTACTCCAATAAAACCTATATCATGCCAATAAATGTCTCAATTGGCTTTGTAGAGAGAGCTTTACTTCGTACACTAGACCTAACCAGGGAGCAGTTGATGAACGCAGTGTCAAGGGAACATCACTCTGTATGTAACCCACGCCGTGCCTAACCTGGGAGTATTTGAAAGGTCACAAACTGGGAAAATATTCAGCTGTAAAAAAGTGATCTCTTAACTTGTCAAGTATAGAAACTCCCTGTTGGTTTCTGGCTTCCTTCCCCTCCCGACATGTGAGAAGGTATCTGATGAATGTGCTGGTTTAAAGATGAAGAGGTATGTGAACACCGCATACAAGCACTGCCGGGGGAAGATTTGTGCTGCTTTTCATAGTCACCACTGTGGGCATTAGCTGATACTCAGAGAGCGAGCTTCGCCCTGTAACTAAGTCAATCTTACCTGACCTGAAAGTGCTGATGGGGAGACAAACAAGCCGAGGGACAAAATTCTCCAAAATACAGAATCATTACAATAACAACTTGCATTTATACAGCGCCCTTCACATAGGGTAGGGTCCTGAAGCTTGACAGTGGCGGAGTCCAACAGCGAGCCAGGGGGAGAGGGAGGAGGGGAGGTGACCGTAAGCACGATCAAAAAGAAAGGTCTTTAGGCGGGGAAGTTACTGCAGCTGAATTACAACAACAACTTGAATTTACATAGCGTCCTGTATTTAACAGCATATCCTGTGAAGCTCTTGGAGATATCCTTTTGACGTGAAAAGTTATATCAAATACAACAACAACAAATTACATTTATATAGCGCTTTTCATGTCGGGAGGACATCCCAAGGTGCTGTGGTTTTTTGCAAGGATTTCTTTAATGTTACAACTCTCTGGTTTGGCCACAGTTGTGTTGGCGTTTTATCTGGAGAACATCTGAAGAAACTTTTCTCTCTTTTCCGACAATGAGACAGGACAGGCCGAATGGCTTACGCAGGGACTATTGTAATTACGAGAGGCTCTCTCTGGCACAGTTCTGATTGCACTCCACAATACTCAGTCAGCTTGTAGCTTTTCAGCAACCACTATTGCAGCTGTTGTATGACAGAAAGCATGAGTATCCTCGGGAGATCAGTGCTCCTGGGAGGGTTGTGTGTGTGTGGAGTGGGGGGGGGGGGGGGGGGGGTGTCAGGAAATGATTTATCACTCATCTCCAGAACAGCCTGTAAATACCTTGTTCTCATTAAAAAGGAGGCATTTTTATATCTGAAGGGAATCATGAATTTTAGGACTGTGACTCTCTGGTCGTTAGCTGCAAATGTTTTGAATTAAAAGTGAAGCGTCTCGAAGTAATCTGATTTTAAGCTCCGGGTCATGTTTGTTCTCTGGCCAGATTGAACCGCTCAAGACTCGAGACTCGATCAAAAATATCTCCATGTAATGGGCTTTCCCCAGAAGTTAAGAGGTGCAAGAAGGAACCACTCCAGGATACAATGGGAGCTTGGGAGCAGAGAGACACAAAGGACACAGCCAACTTGCAAACCAACAAGCAAACTGTGATGTGCTCAGATCAGGAGGGTTCAGGTACCCAATGGCTGAATCTGCAACCTCAATTGCCAGTGGAGTTGATGGAAATGATAGTAATATAGTATAATAATAATAATAATCCTGGCATTCGATATAACGTCTTATCAGGTCATTGAAACATTTCAGAGCGCTTCACAGAATATATTGCAAAACGCTACAGACAATTGCGCACAGCAGTGTCCCATAAACAGTCGTGGAGTGACCATATTTTTTTTGGAGAAAGGATTATTACCTCCTGGAAACTGATCCGCCAATCGACTAACGACTGGGCTTCTACTTAATGTGAGGCATATGGAGTAAGGAAACTTCCCTAACATTTGGTCCTGCTGGGGATCGAACGCCTCACAAGCGGAAATCACTTGTGCTAACTGCTACGTTACAGGACTCCTAAGAGCAGGATATTGGGATTAAATGATCTGCCAAGATCTAATAAACAGGTGAAACAGGCTCAACAGGCCGAATGGCCTCCTCCTGTGCTGTTGCTGGATGGATGGCAGGTACCAGGAATTTCTCCCAAGAGGTGCTGTGAGCAACAGAGCTGCACGTAAAGTGCTGTGCCACATTACCGTCATCTTCTCTAGACCACAGCCAAGACACGCACTGTAACCCAACCATCCGCGAACTTAGTAATAATGAGATTACAATACACAATTTACAAAGACACCCAGGAATTAATTTGGATCAGGAAATGATTTATCACTAGACCAGCACAATCCGTAAATACCTGGGTCTCAACTAGAGTCAAATCTCACTGTTACACACATAGAGTCGAATATCACCCATTATAAAACTGTGCGTCTATTCCAGCAGCTGGAGTTGGTCAGAGGTAAATCAGGGCAGAAACTCGGATATGCTTCACTAAGTTTGGATCCTGGGACAAGGTGAATCGTGTTGGCACATTCAGGAGTCTGGCATTGCCTTCCAGTGACTGAGTGCTTAAAGCTGAGTCTCATCATGTTGAGACGTCAAACAAACAAAGAAAGGTGCCTACGCATCTATCAGAGCTGGTGCGGGCAATTACTTCTCTATTGCAATTGTGCCGCTCCACTGCATATGTGCCGCCTCATTGCAACAGCGCCACACCTTTGCAGGAGCGGACTTCACTAGTGAGAAAAACCACACGAATAATCAGGGTTTACTGACCCTGCAGCTGTGCAATGGCATGAAACACTCTGGGGTCAAAGGTTCCATGTTAATATTAAATGACTTTGGTCACCACGATGAAAAACATGAACTAGTTCGCCATTCATTGTGCCACCACCTGCAGCTCTTAGTGACTCTACAATCTGGGAGATTACGATTTCAGCCTCGTCAAGGCTGAGATTAAATTGCGTGAAGATGAACGAAGGATATAAACCATACTTCTGGTCAGCTCTAAAGTAAAGCACTTCAGCGGTAACCTTCTGAGAAATGAGAGAATGGAGTGCAGGGCTCCTAACCATGATCAGAACGCACTCGGCAACTCCAAACCAGAGATCAAAACTACCTTTAATATTCCAATATTCAAACCCAAAGACCATTAAAGATTCCAATATCAGCAATCAGTGTACAAACCTGCCCCTCTCCCTCTCTCAAGAGTTGCCCCCTCCTTCCCCATCTTCAGGTCGCACCTGAAGAATTTGCCCACGGACACTTGCCCCCGGCTTGGCATCGTGCTCTGCCACTGCTGAGCGCTCTGGGATGCGTGAAGGGCGCTGCATAAATGCAAACTGTTGTTGTTGTAAACATTTTCAGGACTCTAATAATATCAAACAGGACTTTGTGCGTTTACACACAGCTGCAAATCCTGAGACATCTCTCTCTCTTCCACCACCCAACCCACCCCTCTTCTCCCTCGCTCTCTCCACTGCTCCTCCCCTCGCTCTCCAACCCTCCTTAAGCAAAGATCTCCTTTAAGTAGTGTTTATATAGTGATAGAGCGGAGGCCAATTCACTTTGTATTGCGTGTATTGCTGTGGTGTGACTCAATCTCCTGCTGGAGACCATCTCTGCCAGGTTCCAGGCTGAGTATCATCACAACAGCAGACCTCACACCCAGTTCAGCTGCTTCACACCCACCCAGAGCGATTCCCCCCCAAAAAACACACAACTCTCTCTCCTACTTTCAATTCCTTTCCTGCCCTTACTCCACCCTACCTCTGCTCCTCCAACTCAAGCCTGCGTCACAACCCCCACCCCCTATCGAGCGGGTCAACTTTCAGACACTTTGCCCACACACTCTCTGGAACTCTCATCTGAAATCTCTTCATCTCTGCCTTTCAAAACCTGCTTAAAGACCCAATCTCTGTCACCGCTCCCTTGGGCCACCTCCTCCATATCCCTTGACTTTCTCGTGAATTTCTCCGTTTCAGCAGGAGCCGGTTGTCACCGTGAGCAGTGGGGTGGGGGCAGAGAGGCTGAATGTCCAGCCACCGATGGTGGGGCGGGCAGGGCGGGGGACATGGAACAGGCCGGAGTCCGCTGAGCAGAGGGAGCGGACAGGTCGGTATGGAGTTAGCGGGTCGCAGAGGTAGGAAGGAGAAAGAAAATGGAGGAACACCACTACAATAGCACTCAGCACAGCACAGGCACCCAAAGATCACAGGTACTACTCAGGTACCACACACACATTACACATACACGCTTCACATACACGCTACACAGAACTTGCACCACACAGGCACTGTACTGAGCGGTCAGCAACCCCTCCTTCAGATGGATTCCTGAAGAACGACAACCACACTGGCTGCTCAGACTCAATAATGTGTCATTATGTAAAGGCTTCTTTTACATTTTATATTGGGCTGACAGAATACACAATCCCTACACACTGTAAAATTGAATTTAATGGGACCAGCCTGCATTGTAAGTAGACGGCTGGCTTTAAATCTCATGTTGAGTGCCGAAATCCTTCTGGCTTCCCTGGAATTTAATTTTATGCATTTTTAATTCCCGACCATTACTCTGCATGTTTACTTGGCTTGAACTGAAAGACTCTTGGATATCAAGACTCTCCTGTGTTCAAGCAGTAAATTGGTTTCACCAGCGGCATTGTTATATTGCAAATTCACGATTCTGGGAATCACAGAGATCATACGCTCGTAACAACCTTTGTGGCTTCCCATGGCATATCGGTTAGAGCACTCGCCTCGCAAGCGAAAGGACCCGGGTTCCATTCCCGGACAGGGTTAAAGCTTAGGCATGTTTCCTTATTCCACACACCTGTTTACCTAGCAGTAAGTAGGATCCCGGTTGTTAGTCGATTGGCGGGCGGATCACTTTCCGGAGGTAAATAATCACTTTAAAAATAATAATAATAATTTGGTCACTCAGGTTTGAAGACTGCTCAAACATCAGCTTTCAGTACTCAAATCAGAATTCATATAAGCTTTCAAAAAGGAAACCAGCTAGATATCTAAAAAAGAGTAGGCCAACAGCAGGAGGGGGGGAAAAAGAAGGTAAATGGGACTTAAAGGATTACTCTTTAAAAGAGCCAGCACAAACACGATCGGCCGAATGGACATCATCCCAATCCTTGCATTTGATATAGCGCCTTACCAAGTCGACAAGACAACAACAACTTGCACTTACATAGTATCCTCCACACAGGGTAGCGTCGCAGAGCGCTTAACTGTGGCGGAACCTGATTCCAAGCCGGGTTGGGGGGGTGGGGTGGCCGTAAGCACGGTCGAAGGGGAAGGTCTTCAGGTGGGACTTGAAAAGGGGGAGAGAGGGGGCAAGGCGGAGAGACTGAAGGACAGTGTTCCAGAGACGTCTCAAAGCACTTCACAGGATTTTATTGTGAAGTGTAGGGACTGTGTATTTTGTAGCTGCAAAACTGTAAATTGTAAGCAATGTCCCCACAAACAGCTATAAAGCAAATTACCAAGTTTATCGATGAACATCAATCTCGTAGAAAAAGATTGAATTTTTAATGCTTCGTTCCACCTTTGTTGTCGTGTCCCGCACTCCACCTGGGTCAGGAGTGGGGACAGATACAGCAGTGAACCTATTGCATCTCACTCCCAGCTATGTACAATGTACTCTTTGAAATGGGATCAGAGAGGGAGGGAGGGAGATATACAGCTGCAGTTCCCTGATGATCAGCTCAGCCAAAACAAGCAGCGCTGGCAGAGATCCAGGCCCAGGATCCTTAATATTCATCGGTTTGTTTTCCTAAGCTTCAGGCCCTTAATTTGAAGTTTAAGGTCCTAATTCCCTGTTAGATTGGCAATTGTATCACTAAGATCAAGAGGCTTGAGGAGACCACATTTTGCATTTGCTATCCGTACTGACGCTGCGACAGGTGATGTACAGGGGGAGGCAGCGGGAGAGGTTTCTGGGTTCCACTCAGTCCGCACCCCCAGCTCCCATCTCTCCGATAGACAAACAATCACACAAGTCATTCTCTGGCAGACAGTAATCACCCTCACACACACACGAGAACTCCACTACTACCTCACCCCAACTCACATCCTGATCTGACTTTGCCAACTCCCTGCCTGCCAGCCTCCCCCACCTTCCCCTCCGCAAACTCCAGACAATCAAGAGCTCTGCAGCCCAGATCCTCTCCCGCACCAGGCTCCGGGAGCCCATCGCCCCCATTCTCACCCAGCTCCACTAGCTCCCCATCCCCCAAACTTTTAAGATCCTTGTCCCGAGTTAAAATGCCTCCACGATCTTGCACTATCCTATCTCTGCGACCTCCTATTGCCCTCCTCCTTCTCGGCCCACTCCCTCCACCAACTCGGACCTGCTTCATCCACCTCTACCGCTGATGGTGGCCAGTCAGCCACTTTGCATCCTTCCTCTGGAACTCTCTTCCGAAATCCCTTTCCCTCGCTATTTTTTGCTTTCATATCCCACCTAAAGCCCTATCGTTTTCACTGTGCTTTCAGCCAATATCTCCCCTCTCCCAGCTCAGGCTCCCGCTCAGTCTTTGTAAAGAGCTGAAATGTTCTTCCAACATGTATAAGTGTCAATCGTTGCTGTTCTCAAATCATGTCATGGAATCTTTACAACATCCACTTAGTTGACTTCATGTCAGTCTGGCTCACTCACATTCCATTTAAGAGTCAAAAGGTGGTGGGTTTTAATCCCACGTCACAATTTTGAGCTCATAGTCTAGGCTGATGCTCCAATGAGCGCTGGGGTTGCCCTGGATTGTGGGAAGTGCCGTCCTTGGGATGGGATGTTAAAACTGTTCAGGTGGACATTAGAGATCCCATGGCACTATTCAAAGAGAAGGGAGCTTCTCTCAGCGTCCTGGCCAACAGTGCCCCAGGTGAAATTGATGGTTCACTTCAGTTGTTTATGAGACATTACTGCATGCAAATTGGCCGCTCTTGTTCATCAACAACATACATAGCGACTTCACTTTACAGTAAATCCTGTTAGGCACTTTGTCACTTCCTCCCAACTTGAGAGGTGCTATAGAATGAAATGCAAGGATTATTTCTTAATAATATATAAAATAATATATTATTAAAACAGAGGATTTCTTGTGTGACGCTGCCTCTGCAGGAACTTCATGAGAGGTCATGGATTTTGTGGCTGGACCAAGAATACCTGTAGACTTTTCTGACCACAGACACATTACCTGTGAAGCATTTTGAGACTTTGCTGTTGTAGGAGATATATCAAACACAAGGATGATCGATGTTTCGAAAAAAATCACGGAGGTAATCTAATGCAGGCTGAATCACTGGAAGGGCTAAACTGAGTGTTCTAAGTGCTTTAACTGCAAGCATCAACTGCTGGCTAGCTGTGAGGTGTTAATGAGGGATTAGTGTTGTCCCGCTTGAAAAGATCACATCTCAAGTGTAGAAGTGATCGGCCTGGCCTGGTCCTGATAAACGTCGGTGACCTGAACCGGCCTGGACCAAACTAAACAACAACTTGCGCTTATCTAGTGCCATCCACGCAGGGTAGCGTCTCAGAGCAAACAATTCCGCTCACCCTTCACAGCGGTGATCTCCCACTGCTTATCAGTCTCCCTCCCTCGACTCCACCCTCCATCTTGGCTCCATGGCCTCCAGTGCAGACCCACTTAATGTAACTGAACACGAACTTGCATAAATAAGGCTTACCCATGCCGCTGTGCAGACACGCACTGCATAAATCCAGAAGCCTATTGTAAGGTTTTATCAATAGGGGGCTTACCTCATGAATCTCCTTCTTTGTCCAGAGCTCTTGCAGGGTGTGCAGTAAGTGGAGTGGGTCCAGGCCTGAGGAGAAGCAGATTGATTGCCTGTGACAGGATGCACTTGAGACACTGCAGTATTGTTGCTCAGCACAGAATGGGCACTTTGTGCCACCTTTAAAATCGCTAACCTTCTAACCGTCACTCAAGATTAGTGGCTCCACTCAATTCAGAATCTAAACAAATCTCCAACAAACATCATTATTTGAGAGTTTTATTAATCTGCTGAGGGCTGCTGGAGCGTATCTCCACGCTGTTTGCGAATTGCAAGGGTGTACGGTCCAACACTGTTAAACAAATTATGCCAGTGCAAAGCTATTTTGTGTGTTAAGAGCATTACAGTATGGGACGCAGAGTTGACCACCATTATACACTCAGCGAATAGTTATTATTGTTTGGGTGGATGATAGGCGTGAAGGACAGGTTTAGCACGCATTTCTTAAGCCTTCTTCCCCCTCCGCTGATCACCACCGCATTTCCTACTTACAGCAGCAGGACAGTGAATGGGATCAACTGTATAGCTCAGGTCAACATGACTTTGTGGAGCAGTCCAAAAGAGACAGAACGCTGCGGATAAAACTGAACCTTTAGCCCTTTGCTCTTTCAGTGCCGACCCCCCACTACCCCCCGCCCCCGGCCCAGCCGCCGAACACACACACACATCAAAAGAAAAAGCCTTCAAATTCAACATTAAAAACTCAGGCCCCAGAGTGAGAGTCAAACGCTCGTCACTACATTACCAGCCTCTCAACTGAGACGTACAGAGAAACAGTTTTGTTAGAGTGGATTCCAGCGTAAGATGCTGTTTAAGTCTGTGTGTCATTCAATGAGCGATACTTATTTTGATCATTGTGTGGCCTGGGATCAATCTGCTGTTTGGCAGCTCAGTGACACAGGGATTAGGTGACGCAATGTAATGTTGAGAGGGGGACCTGAACTTGGCTGTGCTGTCAGTACGGAGGCAGCAAGTGAAAGCAGGCAGGCGAACATGTGTAGAGAGAGGGAAAGCCACCCTCAGGCTAGGCTGGCACACCTCCCAGCTCAAGAACGGCCTTGGCAGAGCACTAGGAGCAGGTTGGAATAATGCTCATTTCTATTAAACATTCATCTGAGATAGTGCGGAGAAAAAATGGAGCAGAAAACGCTCATGGTCTTCGTCTTCGGGTCATTGACTCCAAATTTAAGTTCCTGTAGAATTTTGGGGAAAAAACGTGAATGTAATCTTAATTTGTGTCACCCTGACTCAAGCTTTGGTTCTCTTGCCTCTGAGTCGGTAGGTTATGGGTTCGAGCCCTACGTGAGGTCTTCGAACTCACAAGTCTAGGCTCACGCTCCAGTGCAGTGCTGCGGAGAATGCTGCGTTGATGGAGGTGCCAACCTTTGGTGGAGATGTAAAACCGAGGTCTCATCTGCCCCTGTTAAGGGCTGCGCTATTCGAAAAGAGAAGCGAGTTTCTCCCCGTGTCCAGGCCAACAATTTCCCAAAATAAAATCGGTCATTCATTTCATGGCTATTTGTGGGACATCGCTATGCAGAAATTGGTTGCTGTGTTCACTTACAAAATGCAGAGTTACTGCACTTTACTGTAAAATCCTGTGAAGCGCTGTGAGACTTCCTCCCTACATGGAATTCGCAGCATCAAATGCAAAGATTTATTGTAGGATTAAATTGGATGTTGTTGTGGTTAAAAAGACAGCATCTAAATATAGGAACACTGCTGTGGCAAATTGGCTGCCACATTTCACCCACAAAATATTCAATTAATTCACTTTACAGTATATTCTGTGAAGCGCTCCGAGACATCTCGGAAGACGTGATAAGATACTATATCAATGCAAGGATTATTATTATTTTATAGGCACATCTAGTGCCACACTGCCTACTTCTGGAGGCAGAAGTTAAATGCAACATGACTGAGTGAGTGGGGCAGCTTTAGGAAGGCTTGTCCAGTAAACCCTGGGCCAAACACATCCCTGTATATCATGTCTATCATGGGTTACGAACAGCGGGAAAGGGAGTCATTTCTGACATCAGAAAGTTTGTGTTCTTGGTGAATTGAACTTTATTTTAGCAGCAATCCAGGGGATGAGTGACTTTTACACAAATCAATGGGATTTGTGATTTTAATGGCAATCCCCAGAATTAATGATTTTACAGCAATCAAGCGAATTAGCATTTTTACAGCAATCAACAGAATTAGTGATTTTAACATAAATCAATGGGATTAGTCATTTTAATAGGAATCAACTGGATCATAGTGTATTCTGTGAAGCATTTTGAGATGTCCTCCTGAAGTGAAGGGAGCTATATGAAATGCAGGGATTATTATTTTTCCTTGTCCCACCACCCTCCCTTCAGTGGACTAGCAGCTGATTTCAGCCTCTTCTGCCTCCAAAAGCAGCACTGTACGACTGAACACATTCTCATGGTATTCATAAGACGAGGGGCTACAGGCAACTCGGCCACTTGCAAACAGACTGCGATGACAGATCCGTGTTAAGCAAGGGGATAAGTCTTACAACTGCAGGTAAATAGTTTCGAGTAAAAGGCAAAAGAAAACAGGGCGCTGGCAATGCTCTCCACTCTGCCCTCAGGAAGCCGTGCAGTAAATCTCGTGATATGTATATGAACAGTCGGGATTAACAGGTCTCTAGGCATCAGTTGACAGGAATCTTCCTTTGTAAGGCTCTGTAAGTATGTGAATGCCAAACATTCCAGCATTGTCACCCAATTTAACTCCAGCCATAAAAACCAAGGCACACTCTTCACTGAATATCCCTCGTGTAACTTAAGAACTCCTAGTGGCTTTAAGGTTTAGACTCGTGACAAGGGGAATTAATAGCGTGGCAAGATACAATCTCCTTAAATCTGTTTCATATTTAGAACATAAAGTTTTCCAATTTCCTGTTTCTCCACATTTTTATTCTCCCTCTCCTCGCCCACCTCCCCCTCTCCCCCCCCAGAGGCATACGTGACTTCCAGCACCCGTCACTAGTGTCCTTTGCCAGTCGAGGAGAGAAGGCAACCCAGGGCTCCCAGCCGGCGGTTTAACCAGAACGCTTTCAGAGCTGAAATGCCTCTCTAAATAAAGTATGAAAAACAAACGCCGCTAACGACACCAAGAGAGAACGAGGTATTAAATACTTAACTACTGCAGCTGTTGGGATGCGAGGGACTGCAGCTCAGTAGCTCAGAATGACAGCGTGCGCTGAACTAACCAGACCTCCTCTCTCTGTTTGTCACCCACCACCTGTGGCATCACAGTTACAACTCACTCGGTTTTAGCTGGTTAGTCTCCAGCAGTTACCCCAACGCACACTCTGGGGTCCACCCGAGCCCTGGCTCTTGCCAACCTGCGCCTAATACTTTCCGGGATTAGGTAAACAGGATGCATCCTCCAGGGAGAAAAGAGAGTGTGCGCATTCCAGTCCAACAACCTATCGCTGGGATTTCCCATGGGTAGGTGGGATGCATGGAAATCTCAGCTTGGGTTTGGATACTCTTACGCACGGTGATGGGTTTCCGCGTGTGGCAGACACCCGGCTGAACCCGCGGAAAAAAGAAGCGGCTTTGCATGTATCAGGACTTCTCCATAGCTTTCACTGTCTTGAAAGCTTGATTTAAGCGCTCTGAGACGCTCTTCTGACCTGAAAGGTATTATGTGTACTAACCATTAGTGGCGTTACTAACCACTTGGAGTCCTGTAGCTCAGTGGTTAGAGCACTCGCTTTGCAAGTGAGAGACCTGAGTTCAATTCCAGGCAGAGGGCGAAACCTTGGGCAAGTTTCCTTACTCCACACAGAGCCTAATAATAATCCCTCCAAAAACCAAAAACAATAATAAATTGGTCATTTTCAATCTATGACTGTTTGTGGGACATTGCTGTGCGCAATTGGCTGCCGCGTTCGCCCACAAATATACAGTCAATTCACTTTACAGTGTGTTCTGTGAAGCGCTTTGGGACGTCCTTCCGACGTAAAAAGCGCTATATCAAATGCAAGGATTATTATTATTACGTACGTGAAGGTTACAGAATATACTGTGAAGTGGACTGACTGTGTATCAAGAGCTGCGGGAAAACACGGCTGAAGCCATGAAGTTGCTGACTGATTTTTTTCTGGGGGTTTGTTGGTCGGGACACCGGGAGAGAGAAACTCCCTTCTCTTTACGAATAGTGCCGCGGGTTTTTTAATGCCCGCCCGATCAGGCAGGCGGGGTCTCAACCGTCTATTTTCCTGCTTCTATATTGTAGCACATCTGGGAAGAACAACACAACTGTATCCTAACATTTAAGAAACCGCGATCAGTCTGTGATTTCCACAGTCAGTAGCGGGGAGGGGGGTGTGAAGAGAAAGAGAGAGAGAGAGAGAGAGACAGAGTCCGAACAAAAGGGGATTGTAACAAAACGTAGCCTTACAGCCCACCCACAATTGTAACTAGGTTCAAGTCCCCTTTAAAATACAGCTGGTATACAGTAGCCCTTTAAACAAGACACTGGGGCAACTTCCTGCACATAGCACAATGACCACAGAGAGACCAGACAAGTCACACGCATTCTCCTCTTTCGGTATGAAATAGTGCCCATTTATATCAGTCTCCGCTTTTGTACGGGGGGCTTTCTTGTATTTAAATGGGGCCCATTAGTCCTCTCATACATGCCCTCGGGTTGACAAGTCTGCAGAGGGAGTCAGCATGGGACTTCACACGTATTAAATTCTGTTTGTCCTCTTGGACCTGCCCTATTATGCAAAGAACATGTATTACAGTTGTTTAAATGCAGTGGAATGGAAATTTGCCATTGTCTTGTGACCTGGCATGAATGCGTCAGCTCCACTGCCTTTAATTCCAGGAAGCAAAGGGCTTGATTCCTGTCCAGCTCCAGCCCTTTTATTCAGATTAGCTGTTTGTGTTGGACCGGGGGCTGCACTACTCTGACCGGACTATTGTTTGATCCAACAATTCCAGAGTGTAGCTGCACTGCTGGGACAGCGAGACTGCTGAGAGATGAAAGAAAGCAAAGCGGAG